TATATATTTTGGACAACCATCCATTATCATATATGTCTTCTTCAAATATTTTGTTCCAATTGTAGCTTGTCTTCTCATTCTCTTGATACTGTCTTTTGAAGAGCAGAAGTTTTAATTTTAATGAAGTCTGCCTTATCAATTATTTATTTCATGGGTTGTGTCTTTAATGAGTATCCAGAAAGGTGTCATTATACCCAAAGTCTTCTAGATTTTTTTCTTTAATGTTATCTTCTATGAATTCTATAGTGATGTGTTTTGCCAACCATTTTTTAAACTAATTCTTGTTATGTTCCCTTTCTTTTTTTTTAAGATTTTATTTATTTATTCATGAAGGACACACACACACACAGAGAGAGAGAGAGAGAGAGAGAGAGAGAGAGGCAGAGACATAGGCAGAGGGAGAATCAGGATCCATGCAGGAAGCCTGATGTGGGACTCAATCCCGGGACTCCAGGATCACACCCTGAGCCAAAGGCAGATGCTCAACCACTGAGCCACCCAGGCGGCCCAAACCCTCTTCTTTTTTCTTTTTAAGATTTTATTTATTTATTTGAGGGGGACAGAGATCATGAGAAGGGGGAGAGGGAGGGAGAGAGAAATAATCTGAAACAGACTCCACACGGAGTATGGAGCCTGGGGCTCAGTCCCACGACCAACCTCGAGACCATGACCTGAGCCCAAATCAAGAGTTGGAAACTTAAGCAACTGAGCCACCCCGGTGCTCCCCCATCTTGCTCTCTCTCAATGACTGATTGTCCCAATGCTCTCATTAAGCCACTTTTCCAACTTCTCACCCTTATTCTCCTCCAGATAAATTTAATCTCTGCTCTGATGAAGTGAATTGGAAAGATCAAATATAACCTCCCTAAACTTTCTACCCTTTTCCTCACAAAGGACATACATCTGCCCTTACTTACCAACTTCCCCAGGTGCACAAGATGAGGCAGCTCCATTTCTGTCCAAGGGCAGTCCCTTTCTGTACTCTTTATCCTTCATTCTTATGTTTTTAATCCTTGAATCATTTTTCTTATATCACCAAACTCTTACTTTGTATGTTACTTCTCAAACAATAAATAAGTTCAATTCTTGTCTATACTAAAAAAAAAAAAAAAAATCCCAAAACAACAACAACAAAATAGCAGCAACACCACCACTACCTCCATTGGTCCTGTGTGTGTTTTGATTTTAACTGTCTTTCATCTTCCTGTGGATAGAGCTCTTTTCAATCATCATTTTCATTTTTTACTTCCTATTCACCTTTCAACCCAATAAACTCTGACTTCTCCCACCATCACCCTGCAACCGGCCTAGCTGAAGACACTATGATGTCTACATTGCACTTTATGCATCCCTGTCTGTGTTGAATTTGACATTCTTGATTACCCTGTCCTTAATATTCACCTTGCCTTTGGCTTCTATGGCCTTATTGCTATATTTCTCTGACATTCCTTTTCAGGCTCTTTAAATGTTGGTATTTCCCTGGATTCCACTGGGAGCCACTGCTATTTCATTCAGAGTTTTAACTGACACATATCAGTGACTTGTAAGTCTTCATGTCTAGTCCTAACATTGCCATTTTTGCTTCAGAGGTCGAGTCACCCCTATGTGTATTTCCCATAGGTACCTCAAATTCACCATGGTTTTGGCTAAATTTATCAACCACCCTACACTCCAAAACTTGCTTCTTCTCTGTTCCTTCTGAGGCAGTAGCCCCAAGAGTTTTGGAATTTCTGGAAGATCACAATGTTTAATAAAAATAAAATGTAACCTGTATATGTAATTTAAAATTTTCTGAAAGCCACATTAAAAAATAAAATGAAACAGTGAAATGGTTACTAAAAATTGATTTTACTTGACCCAATATATCCAACATAATACTATTATGATAAATCCTAGAACAATGAGGTATTTTGCATTTTTGTACTATATTTTTAAAATCTTATTGAACATCTGAATTGAAACTATTCGCTGGGTTCCAGTGACCACGTGGCTAGTGGCTCCTCTACTCAGTGCATTTGTAGAGTCTTTATCTCCACTAATCTCTCTCTTATCCAGTTATTAGTCCTGTTAGCTTTATCTCATCAGTATTTCTCCATTAAGTTAATTTATTTTCATCCTTACTATGCCATGGTTTTAGTTCACAATTTAGTCTTTTCTCATTTGAGTTGTTGCAGTAGCTTATGTAGCTAGTTTCTCTGCCTTAGAAAGTGTACAAAATCCACTAGAATAAAGGAGACTATAGTAGAACATCTACTTATATGTATTTTTATCTAGAAAATAAGAAAACAAGCCAGTCAATAGTCAAGTGTAAATGTAAGACGCAAAATATATTTTCCCCACAAAATAAAAAAAAATAATGTTATTTATTTTATCTTCCTGCAGACTTTAAAGTTTCTTTTTATATTTATATATGGTATACATAATTTATTAACACTATGGCCATATATAATTTAAAAATAAAATTACATGTGTACTTGAAATTTATTTTACTACTGCCAGGGGGAGTGAAATCACTAAAATTTGGCATCTCGTGGACCTGGACCTACTCTGACCTCACCTGCCTTCCCAACCTCAACTTCTTCATCCCCACCTCAAATGTTTTGTACTTAGTGGCTCTTTCATATTTTATTATTGTTTGTTCTTCTTCATACAGATAAACAAATAGGTAAAGTACTTCCTGGCCTGACCTAATTCTATTTCTCTTCTAGGCTATTCTGAGGACTCTTTCTCTTCAAAGAAAGTCTATGACAACTTCATAAATTATGTCATATGCCCCTTCTCTCACTTGACATACATTTCTTATTACATTATTAGACTGAAATTATATTTTTTTATGGACCAACATTCCCCACTAAGACATAGGCAGACATAGGCAGAGGGGGAAACAGGCTCCCCACAGGGAGCCCAATGCAGGACTCGATCCCCAGACCCCAGGATCATGACCTGAGCCGAAGACAAGTGCTGAGCCACCCAGGCATCCCACGACATATGATAGTTCTTTAGAAATGTTCACTGAACTACATTCATGGCTCTCCTTCTTGAAACCAGCTTCTTTTACCAGTGAATGAAACAATGATTTGGTCATTGCACTTTATGGAGTATCTGGGAGACTTCCTTTGTCTCTAAAGGTGCATGATAAAATAATAAGTATACTTTGATTTTAATACTGTGATTAGTATCCTATTTCTAAGAAGCTCATAGGGTCAATAACAATGTTATTGTGAAATGAATTGCCCACTTGCTTCTTACTAAAAAGTAGATGAGATTACTTGCTCTAGCATAGTGAAGCTTTGGTTGCATGTGTACATGCAATCACCATCAAACTTCAGTATGGATGATAATCACCTTGGACACATGTTTAAATATAGATATCTGGGTTTCATATATATGTATTCTGATTAATTTGAACTGATGATGGCCCAAGATCTGTATTTTTAGGAAGCATCACAATGATTATAATATAGATGATAGAAACCATACTTTGAGAAGTATTGCATCCTTTCTTAAGTAGAAGGTAAGAGGAAGAAGTAGTTTTGAACAGCTGAGAGAACTGCCTTAGTCAGGGACAGAGTGAGGTTCTCCATAGAGGTCTACAGAAGTTACAGAGCTATAATGGACACATGGGAAAAGTTGAAATGGAATCAAGGGTGGCTGTGACTGTGTGGAGGGAGTCATGAAGATCAATATAAGAAAATTTTGGCTTATTTCACAATTTTCCCTAGGATTTATTTTTCTTCTTCAGCAAGAAAACTTACTATCAATATTTTTCCTAAAATCTTATTATTTGAGTATTTCATCTTCACTTAGGAACTGACACTTGTTAGTCATTCAATAACTATTTTTTTTAATATTCCAGGATCTCTAGGATATTGAACACTATAGGTATAGGATGATTTTTAATATTTAGAACAGTATCATATAATTCTACTCAGTATTTCATTTTGGATTCTATGACAAAAAAAATTATCTAGCATAGAGGAGATAGTCAACTACACACCATGTGGAAAAATCTAACTTTGCAACTATGAGGAAAAAAATAGACTTTCAGTTAAATGTCATTTGTAAATACTCAAAGCTGTAATCCAAGTTATTAATGTTTTAAAATTTAAGAGCAGTTTAAAGATTTTAATGAAGATGCTACATATTTTTTAGCATGACAAATAACCAGAAGTAGATGGATAAATCTAGGCCGTTCAAAAGGTCCAAACTTTTATTTATTTTATTTATTTTTATTTTTTAAAGATTTTATTTATTTATTCATGAGAGACACAGAGAGAGAGGCAGAGACACAGGCAGAGGGAGAAGCAGGCTCCATTCAGGGAACCTGATGTGGGACGTGATCCTGGAATTCCGGGATCACACCCTGAGCCAAAGGCAGAAGCTCAACCGCTGAGCCACCCAGGCATCCCATCCAAACTTTTAATTTTCACTTATTGTTTCAGCTTTCTCCCTCATCCAGTTTTATTCAGATCTGTGAGCTGTTAACAAGAAACTAATTGGTTGACTTGAGTTTCTTCTTTTCACCATTTGGTGGCCAGTCTCTGGTGGAAATCCTAATGAGATGCAAACCAGGCAAACAAATGGACTAGTGGACTGGAAGGAGGAGAAGAGGCAGTGGGCATGGAGAGTTTATTATTGTTCACCCAATCAACTAAATCTGTTTTAATTGTAGCAGCAATGCCATAAATAGTCTCAGCACAAGCCTATTAGTCTGCCTCATTTAATTCCTGTATGTTTCAGTTGCTTTGCTTCCACTATCCATAGAAGTCGTCTGCAATTTTAACTTTGTTCCTTTGTTGGGAGAGATTTCCCTCTGGTTATCTGTAGTTTGGGAAGATAAATTATCTTCAATAGCTTAATAGAGATTGGGTTTTGGGGAAACAGTGTTTTTCTTATTGCAATCTATATCTTGTTTTTAACTTCACTTAGCACAAGACCTGTACTCTCTCTATTGGCTCATGTTAAACTAAACATCTCTGCCAATCTGTGCTCTCTTGTAGGTGATTCGCAAGGGGTGGCTAACCATCAGCAACATCGGCATCATGAAAGGAGGCTCTAAGGGATACTGGTTCGTCCTTACTGCTGAAAGCTTGTCCTGGTACAAAGATGATGAGGTAAGCCACAGAGAATGACAGAGTTTTCTTTTTAAAGAGTTTCTAATTTCAAGTTAATTGATATTGTGATATACAATTTCAAGACAAGAGTGGTTCTCTTTCAGTAAGACTTATCTTGGGGTGCTTGTTTGAAGAAGCATTGTTTTTTTCCTCATAGATTTTTATTTTTATAATATTCACCTCAAATTTCTTTTATTTCTTTGGTATAGTTACACGTTTGTTAACCTGATGAAGTGGAGTTTGGGGTCACTAGTTGGAAATTTTCTTGTTTGTACTAATAGTGAGATACTGATAAAGGGAAAACAATTTTCATTAAATGTGTTGAAAAGACCCAGGAATATAGAGCATCCTAAGAATGAAATTAATAGCACTGATGTAAAGTTAATAAAGAATTTTGAAATTGTTGCTGTTATATCTGTCTCAAATGGCAAGCTTTTGAAAATGTCCAAATCACTAGTCTTTAAGCGAGTCTCAGATAGTTGTTTTTTTTTTTTAAACATTTTTTTTTAAATTTATTTATGATAGTCACAGAGAGAGAGAGAGAGAGAGGCAAAGACATAGGCAGAGGGAGAAGCAGGCTCCATGCACCGGGAGCCTGATGTGGGATTCGATCCTGGGTCTCCAGGATCGCGCCCTGGGCCAAAGGTAGGCGCCAAACCGCTGCGCCACCCAGGGATCCCTCAGGTAGTTGTTTGTACGAATGTTGTATTTTGAAAATTTGATAGCTATGTAAAAGCATGAATTATAATAATTATGCTGTTCTGGTTCATGTTAGATGTTAATAGTTTTGGTCCTGTGATTTCAAAATCTTATAGCTATAAAAATGCAAAAAATCCTATCAGTCTTGTGGATCCATTAGGATGCTATAAAATGATACTGCCGAATTTGGGAGATCATGGATGAAATTAACTGTTTTGGAAATTTTAACAGCTCTGGTCTGACCTGAGCAGTTCTTGGTGCTTATAATGCAGTATGCAAACATTAGATAAGAATGCTTTGTGATCACAAAGCTATTTACAGGGGAGATTGTCTATACATGCTATAAAGGCCATGTATACCTGGTATAAAGGCCATGTATTTCAGAGTTAAAAGTCCTTCCAATCCTGGCTTGATATTTTTTGGAAAGCATGACAAGGTACCTTTGTTGGTGGTTGGAATTAAAGTTTCACATATTATACAGTTCTTTCTGTTCCCTAATGCTTTGTGTACAATAGTGTGTTAATCAGATCAGTTGATGACCACCAACTTTTCTTCAGTAAGGGAAATAAAATCTTCTAGAAATGTGCAAGGATGATTTCAATGCAAAAATCTTTTAAAATTTTTTTATGTTATATTTCACTGACTTCAGTCAAACGTGGAATTGGTTGTTATGTCTTTTTAAAAAATTTTATGTTATATTTCACTGACTTCAGTCAAATGTGGAATTGGTTGTTGTGAGAGTCTGAGGATTAACAATGGTTTCTTTCCTGTGCTGGCTGCTTAGAAATCCCGATCATTGTGTGGGAAACTCTAGTGTTTAAACATCACAGCTTCAGGGCTCTGAGATGCCTCGCTAGACAGAAAATCAGTAAAAGAGTAACTTCTTTTGCATTCCATTGCCTTAAGAGATCTTCTCTTAGATATATTCTGTTTCCAAGGATTGAGAGGATCATTTATGTACACTTAAACACATATTGGTTTGGGGGCTTTTATCAGTTATTTTAGGGAAAGCAAAAGATTTTGCTGAGGATTCATAATAAGAATAGCTAGTGTTTTATATAGACTAATTAACTCATTCAAGCCACATTAGAACCCTAAAGGTAGGTGCTATTATTTTTCAAAGAAGTAAACTAAACAAACAAACCCCCCAACTTTTAGAAAAGTCATTTCTCTAGGACTCAGTTTCCCTTATGGCTGACTACTGGGTGTTTATGAAGACAACTAACTTCCCAAGATCACATAGCTAATTGGTGGCAAAACAGAAATTCACATTCAGGCTATCTGGCTCCAGAGCTTATGTCTTCAACCATAAATGTAGGCAAGAATCCCAGAGATGCTGGAGTTGTCCAAGTCAACCTCATCCCACAGAGGATTTATTAAGACAAGTTCCCGGGATTTTGGCATTGATCTTTTCCTGGATATTAGTATCAGGGGCTCTGAAGACAATAGGATTAGTGGCTGCTCTTGGAATATGGCTTTGGGGTTCTCTTGTCAGGCTGTGTGGAACTGAAAGAAGGCCACTGGAAAGTTTATGATGCCCCGTGGGGCGAAAGGAGAAGCTTTGAGAGCTTGGTAAGCTTATGATAACTGGTCATCCCTTCCTCTCCTCTATAAACTCAGGATAACTTTTTTAAAATTTCTGTTGCTGAAGTGCCCTCATGAGCACTTGTTTTCAACAAATGGAAAATACATGTGTACAGTTATAGTATTAGCTGAGTTCTGGAGATTGTCTTATTAAAATTATATGTGTGGAGGGTGTTTGGGCATGGGACCAGTGGGAGAGATAGGAATGACCCTTGAAATACAACGGAGTGATTTAGAAGTTTAGAAGAGGGTTGTTTTCTTAGTTTAGACCATTTCAAGAAAGAAAATGACAAAGTTGCTGTTCTGTGGAGCTAATAAAGAGACTAATAATATAATATCAGATATTAAGTGCTCTGAAGAAAACAAAATAGGGTAATGAGCTAGATTTTGCTGAAGAACATTCCAGCTCGAGGGAACCATATGTGTACCCCTTCTCCTCAGGTAGGAGCCAGCAGAGATCCTGTGGCTGAAATGTAAGAGCATGGGGGAGAGAGTTAGGAAATAAAATCAGAGGTACCTGTGGGTGGAGCCTTATCCAGCCAATAATTTGAATTTTATATCAAGGATAATTGAAAAACAATTGGCTTGTTCCAACAGGATGTGACATGATTGGATTTATGTTTTAGAAAGATCACTTTGGCTGCTGGGTTGGGCATGATTTGTGGAATGGAATAGGTGTGTGGGATGGAATGGGTGTGTGGGATGAAATAGGTGTGTAGAAGGAGGGGAGTGGCAAGAACAGAAGAAGGGAGACCAGCTAGGAGACTGTAGCAATAGTCTAGATAAGAGAAGATGGTGGCTTATTCTGGGTGGCTTGAGAGGAGCTCTTCAATTCAGGGTAGCAAATGGATGGGCCACATAGAGCCACGCTGTTGCCATTAGCTACTGTTACTTATTAGAAGTCTGCTCAAGAAACAAGATAGGAAGTGTTCAAAATATTAATAATGTCTGACTCACAAATGACCCTTCTGTTTAAATTGTGTCACTGGGGCAGAGCCTTTTTTCCACTGGAGCCATCCTCATTCATTCCTGCCTCATTATTCCTTGGCCATCTCCACTGGCATCCTCTACTCTGTTCTATTTCTCTTGCCAGAGTTTTCCACCACTGCAGAACACCTCTGAGGTTGCTGTCAAGGTGAAAGGGAGGGAGCAGTATCATTCTTTGCTTTCTGCTAGTATTCAACAAATAGTTACTAGTGTCAATGGGGAGCAGAGGCCAGAAGGGAGGGTATGGGGAAAGCAGGTCAAGAAGAAATATCAGAGGGTAGGGCTTAGAAGTCGTGATGAGTCTCTGGCCTCCTGAATTTGTACCCTAAACTCCCATCTTTTAGCAGCAATGTCTTAAATGATACTTAGATTCCATAAAGGTCTTAGTTCATAGTTCAGGCCATAGTTCAACTACATGTGGCCTGAACGTGCTGCTGTGGGTAACCTCAAAACCCTCCAACTTAGAATATTCTTTTGTGAAAATAAGCCTGAATTCTAACTCAATGTTTGGAGTCCATCTGTTGTTAAATTAAGTGCATGATCTTTGTTCCCATGGTATCTTTCTCATATGTACTTTAGCATCTCTATACTTGGAAATCCTGTTATATGATAATTTCTTTTTAAAGATTTTATTTATTTATTCATGAGAGACACAGAGAGAGGCAGAGACATAGGCAGAGGGACAAGCGGGCTCCCTGCGGGGAGCCTGATGTGGGCTGCCATCCCAGGACTCTGGGTCTGGACCTGAGCCAAAGGCAGATGCTCAACCACTGAGCCACCCGGATGCCCCGACGTGATAATTTATCTTTCTTAGTCAAACAGATGGGAGACAGTAAATATTGTTAAGTTAGTTATATTTTCATTCATTTAATCAATAACAAATGTGTATGTAAATTTTCCTGGGGGATTATCATATTTTTTTCTGTGTTCTGCCATCTTCCCACTTTCTTGTGTAATTAGATTGGTGTGTTTTCATTATATCAAACTGTTAAGTAAATAGCATATTATGCCATAAGAATAGATAGGATTTTATGTAATTTATGACAAGTCTGTAATAAATATAAATGACTTATGAAATATATTTGAGATTGAAGAACAATGGCTCAGACTTTTATAGGATTATATTCATTGAAGAAAAGACCCCATAGGCTATATGCTTGGTACAATGAAAACAGTGAGGTATGGAAGATGTGGATTTGCTAGGGCTAATGTCAGTGCTAGAACAAGTCCGTTTTCTCTGGGCCTCACTTCTTTTCTTTTCACTTACGGAATGGGGATCTTAGCTCACCAAGTCACCTCAAAGTCATTTTCTAGGACTCTAAGAAATTATATATAAATAAATACTTTTTTTTGATTTTTATTTATTTATGATAGTCACACACAGAGAGAGAGAGGCAGAGATATAGGCAGAGGGAGAAGCAGGCTCCATGCACCGGGAGCCCGACATGGGATTCGATCCCGGGTCTCCAGGATCGCGCCCTGGGCCAAAGGCAGGCACCAAACCGCTGCGCCACCCAGGGATCCCTAAATAAATACTTTTATAAACTTTTAGATGTCACACTTACATCTTCATGATTGCCACTACAAGTAACAACTGTGCCCTCCCACTGTAAAGCCATTATTTGACTTACATATGTTCTAATTTCCTTTTTTTTTTGTCATTTCATATTGTGAGATAGGATGTATGGTATCTGAGCCTATTTTGTTGTTGTTGTTGTTGTTATTTTGTT